AGAACAATTATCATATAAAGGGTATACTTTGTTACATAATTTGATGTACAATGGTGATTTTTCATTTTGTTAGTTATTTTATATCTAATAACTATATCTAATTCTTATAACTACAATTATTTTATACCTAATAAAGTCTACTTAAATAACGGACCATTTTTAATTATAAGTTCTAAACTGACCTGAACTTTAAATGAAGGAATGGTGTCCAAAGTTGTCATGTGCTATAGGGAGAGCATTACCCTGGAATCTAGAAAACCTTGGTTCTGCTTCTCCTTCCTACTAAATAGCTTACCAAATTTTAGACAAATTTTACAACCTTGCAGGAGCTCAGTTTCTCCATCATTTCAATATCTAGTAAAAGTGGGATTGCCAATCTTCACTCTTTAAAATAAGGGAAATAACTAGAATATCCTCTCCACATTAACTTCTCCACTATTAAATACAAGTGTTACAGAATGGGGAAATATAATATTTCATTTTCTTCTTAATAATTAAAGAGGCAATTTTTAGTAAGGATGCATAATATTATTCCAGTTACTAGCTTAGAAAATAGAGCTAGCTAAATAATCTCTAAGGCTGTTTTTATATCTCAAACTCAAAATGCAGAGGCAGTTATATCATGGGAACATGTAGAGTTTGGAATAGTCTTTCAGATTTCCTTAAGCTGGAAGTCCAGTGGCTTCATGGTTAATGGACTACAGTGGATGCTTTGAACAATGTGGGCTTGAACTGTGTGGTACACTTACAATTGAAAAATTTTGGACATTTGCAACAATTGAAAACATTTTCTTTCTCTAAATTATTGTAAGATTATAGCATGTAAGATATATACAAAATATATGCAGTAAGTCTCTGGTCAACAGTAGGCTATTATTAGTTAGTTTTGGGGGAATCAAAAGTTATACGTAGATTGTTTACCTCATGGAGGGGCAGCACCCCTAATCCCTGCATTGTTCAAAGGTGAATTCTATATACTTACTCATCGCCAGTATACCTAAGGCATTAAGAACTTTTTAGATCGTAAATAACATCAGAAGGTGTTTTCTCCTTGCAGTTTAATATGAAATTTAGTACTTATGGAATGAATCCTATATTAGTATCCATCTATAACATAATCATATATATATAATATTTTAATTTTAATTTTTCTTGTCCATAATTTATCTTACAAGACTTACTTTCCTATAAGGCTAGAAAAGCAAAAAGCATTGAAGGACACCGAACTACTGATCACTACTCTGGTTTGCACAGCAATTCCTGTCTTCATTCCAGCCAAATTTTGCTAGTCAATAAATATAGATTTAACGAGTGTTTAAATATCCTCTGAATAGGAAGCATAATAGTGGCAGAGAAGGACAGAAAATCATTGTAACATACTTCCTTCTGTTCTTCAGATTCTGATTCTATTCCTGAAAGAGCTGACTCTCAGCTAGTACAGTGGGGCAGTCATACATCATACAAACAGAAGAGGAAGATAGGGATTTACTTCTTCCAGATGGAGTTTCCAGTTTGAGAAAACAATGGCCTCCCTTTTCCTAAATCTGAGTGTTAATTTTATAATTTTAAATAGATCACTCATTTTTCTGTTTTAAGCAAACATGTTCAAAATGCACTTGTAATACTTACACGTTCTAGTAATTCCTCCAATCCTTATTTCTCTAATTCTTTTAAACTTTCATTCATCTTTGTACTTTCATACTGAATACATTTTCAGTATACTCTTGACATGATGCATTTTAATTTAGTCCCTAAAGTGTGCTAAATCCTTGGTTATGTAAATCCTTGGTTATGTCCTCAGGTAGTGAGGGCTATGCCTCTCTTTTCCTGTATCATACAATTGCAGTATCCTAAGAAAAGAGAATATATATATAACCTTCTACCCTGAAGCCAGGAAACTGACCTCATGTGAGAAATGATAAATTATCCTTTAGAGATCTTTGTGTTACCCTGCCATGGGGGTAATTACATTTTACATAATTTTTCCAGGAATGGGAAAAGAAAAGCGTTTACCACGTNTCATGGGGGTAATTACATTTTTCCAGGAATGGGAAAAAAAAAAGCTTTTACCACCTAGTGGTACAAATGAAAGCAAAATATTTAATTACCATTCAAATTCCTAGTGAGTAAATTTTTGATTCCCTACTTTCTGACTTTCATTAAAGCAGTCATTCAATCTTATAAATGATTACCAAGCCTCAGGCAGGTTTTCTCTAGTCATAAGGAGCCCCCTACTTCACAAGACAGTTTAGTTTGTTGTAGGAATGCTCAATTGGTTCTACCATCTGTGGTTTAATAGAACCAAACTGCTCGTACAACATGAGGTTCTTTAAATATTTGAGGATGCTCTCATTTTTTCTTCATGACAAATATTCTGTTTCCTTGACAGATACATCAAGTCTTTTAAATCATATTTTATATAATGTTTTATAGGTGCTGCATTCCTGTCTCCAGAGGTTCTTAGGTACATTATAAATGAGCATTTTTAAAGAAATATAAAGTGAGGTTCTGTATCACTTAGCCAACTCAGTACTCTCTATAAATCTAGTAAAAGTTTTATAGACACAAGGATACATGCAGAATGTTCAGTATAATAGTTTTCAAAACGAAAAATAGAAACAATTATCTAAGTGACTTTAAATTCGAAAATGGTGATATAAATTATAATATTTTAATAAATTAAAATACTATTCAATTATTAAAATTAATATATTGGAAGGTTTATGTAAAATTTAGCTTAAAAATTTAATATTGAGGTGAAAAGTAAATGGAAGAATGATGCAGTTAATGTAATTACATTTTCATGCATAGAAATAAACATGGATACATAGTTATTAAATAAAAGTTCCAAAACATCCAGAAGCCAAATTCTAAGTTGTTGAGAGCCAGGCTATGCCCCTTCCCCCACTTGATGATGTGGTGGGAATAGAGAACAAAGAACAGAACATCCTGTTCACACATTCCAGGAGCAACTGAAGGAGCCCTGCTGTTCTTAACTTTGCCCGGCTACCGCTGATGTCAACGGTGTGCTTGATTGTTTATTGGATAATTCTATTTCCTGGGATAGTGTGCTTCTTTGCTGTATAAATACTCTGGACCCTAATAAAGCTTTGCTGGCGACACGCAGGAGCATCAGCCCTCCCAGTTCTTTCTGTCTTTCTTTGTTTTCTTCGCTCCCCTTCCGCACTTCAGGACCTGCTCAACTCAGGGTGGCCGGACCGCGTCAAGTGGTGCCCAAACAGGGACCTGAAAGAGAGGGATAAGGTGAGGGCCACCATTTTGAGAAGAGAAAGCCCTTGCCAGGGTAAGCAGAGAAGATGCACGAGAGAAGAGGTGCGCAAGCAACGTGGACATGGTAAGTGATTTTTCTGGGAGTTCAATATGGGACAGGCAAGAAGCAAACAGCTTTATGTCTGCGGGTTGAAGAAATTATTGGCTATTAGGGGAATTAAAGTAGGGAAGCCCCAACTAGAAAGATTTTTAGACTTTATTAAGAAATTCTGCCCATGGTTTCCAGAAGAAGGGACAGTAGACATAGATTTATGGAATAAGGTAGGAGAGGGATTACAAACTTATTCTGCCCATGGACCAAAAATGTTTCCAGTAGATACTTTTTGACTGTGGACCTTGATTAGAGATTCTTTAGATCTTAGGCATGAAGGATTTAAGATAGAAAATGTGAAAGAGCATGCCCTTGGTACGGGTCAGGCTGCTGAGGAAAACAAAAGCAATCTTGCTTCTCCAGCCATTTCCCCGTCTGCTGCACCATTGGAGGCACTGGAAAGGTGGGAGCCATCCTATCATGAACTGGACAGCGGCTCAGATGAGGAAATGGAGAAGGAACAGAGCCCTCTAGTGGAGGAACCTTTAGATCAACTTGGTGATAAGGAGGCACAGACAATAGAGACAGCCTCCATAGGCTCTAGCAAGAAAGTTTATCATCAACTTTGTGATAAGGAGGCACAGACAATAGAACGAGAGAAGAGGTGCGCAAGCAACGTGGACATGGTAAGTGATTTTTCTGGGAGTTCAATATGGGACAGGCAAGAAGCAAACAGCTTTATGTCTGCGGGTTGAAGAAATTATTGGCTATTAGGGGAATTAAAGTAGGGAAGCCCCAACTAGAAAGATTTTTAGACTTTATTAAGAAATTCTGCCCATGGTTTCCAGAAGAAGGGACAGTAGACATAGATTTATGGAATAAGGTAGGAGAGGGATTACAAACTTATTCTGCCCATGGACCAAAAATGTTTCCAGTAGATACTTTTTGACTGTGGACCTTGATTAGAGATTCTTTAGATCTTAGGCATGAAGGATTTAAGATAGAAAATGTGAAAGAGCATGCCCTTGGTACGGGTCAGGCTGCTGAGGAAAACAAAAGCAATCTTGCTTCTCCAGCCATTTCCCCGTCTGCTCCACCATTGGAGGCACCAGAAAGGTGGGAGCCATCCTATCATGAACTGGACAGCGGCTCAGATGAGGAAATGGAGAAGGAACAGAGCCCTCTAGTGGAGGAACCTTTAGATCAACTTGGTGATAAGGAGGCACAGACAATAGAGACAGCCTCCATAGGCTCTAGCAAGAAAGTTTATCATCAACTTTGTGATAAGGAGGCACAGACAATAGAGACAGCCTCCATAGGCTCTAGCAAGAAGGTTTATCCATCCCTGCTCGCAGTAACACGGACAGTCGCAGCAGACCAATCTGGAATACCTTTCGAAGAGTGGTGGAATGAAATTCAGGGCACTTTGAAGTGGCTTACTTTAGCCTTAGAATTGCAGCAAAAGATGGGACAGCCACACCCCGAGAGAAGAGACTCCACTGTGAGTAAGGCTGAAACAAATCCCCTTGAAAAGGTAGGTTCTGATCCTGTTCAGCCTATATCCTCAGAACAAACTAAAGAGAAAACAGTGGAGTGAAAGACAGAGAAGGATTTAGAACAGAAAGAAAAACAGCCCATAGAGTCTAAGGAAGAAAAGCCTCATATGCTCCCAGTTAATATGCAGAAGAGACAGAGAAAGGTTACTCCTCTTGAGGCAGTTCTACAACAAGCTCAAGATCAGGGAGAGAACACACAAGAATTTTTTGCCTATCCAGTGTTAGAATGGCCAGGTGACAATGGAGGGGTATTCAGACAACGTGTGCCATTTCCTTTCAAACAGCTGAAAGAGCTGAAAGAGGCCTGCAATAAATATGGCCCCACTGCTCCGTTTACATTAACCATCTTAGAAGCTATGACTACAGAGGCTTTGCCCACGGGAGATTGGAAGTCCTTAGCACATGCATGCCTTACGGGGGGAGATTATCTGCTATGGACTTCAGAATTTTATGAGAATTGTCAGAGAACAGCTAGGACTAACGCTGCTCAGCAAATACCCATTGTTTTTGAACAGGTTGGCGGGAGAGGGCCAATATGCTCAGGTGGATCAACAGTTGGTCTTTCAGTTAGCAGTATATGCTCAAACAAATGCGGCAGCTAGAAGAGCATGGAAGGCTCTCCCAGAAAGTACTAGTAGAACAGAGGAGGTCTCTAAAATCAGGCAAGGGCCTGATGAACCATTTCAAGAATTTGCAGCTCGCCTATTGAAGACAGCAGGGAGAACATTAGGAGAATCAGAGGCTAGTACTGCCCTAGTCACACAGTTGGCCTACGAGAATGCCAACAGTGCCTGCCAAGCTGTCTTGAGGCCATTTTGGAAAAAGGCCACATTATCAGATTACATTCGCTTATGTTCAGATATAGGGCCATCCTATACCGAGGGATTAGCTATGGCAGCAGTGCTGCAAGGGAAGTCCATCAAAGAAGTTATGCTTCAGCAGACCAGATCTTGTGGGCATCACGGTCCTGTCAGTACATGCTTTAATTGTGGACAGATGGGACATATAGCCAGACAATGTCCATGAGCCTCCAGGCCTCCAGCTAATCAAGGAGCTGAGGCTACACTGCCACTTTGTCTTAGGTGTAAAAAAGGAAAACATTGGGTAAAGGACTGTAGATCAAGGTTTGATAAAGATGGTTGTCCCCTTCAGGGAAACTGGCAGAGGGGCTAGCCCCAGGCCCCAAACAAACAATGCTATGGGGCGCTGCAGGTGACCGCAGAGAATCAGGCTTCTGGGAGTCAGGCTCTAAGCAGCAGAAATCCGTTCAAGACCTCTTTCAAGCGACCTCAGGGAGCGCAGGACTGGACCTCAGTTCCACCGCCTACACAGTATTAACACCAG